TTTTTCAACCATTTTTTGAAACTGTACAAAATTTGTATGACAAGCATTTTTCCATACACTTGATGGAATTGTATGATAACCATTTGCGATGTATGGAGGTCAACCGCGGTGTTCGACCTCTACGTCGACGACGCTCAACAATCTTCGATATTGTTTTGAAACTGCACGACCTATATTACCGATGATTCCATCTTTGTTTTGACTGTGTTGGACTAATAACTCGGTTGTGTTTGACCTAAATCAACTCAGCCAGACCTGTGTTTTGCTCTTTTTTTATTTTGTTTCGATGCTTCGACTCTTCCTATGATTAGAATTTCCTCGACCTATGTTTTGATTGCTCTCGATCAAATTTTGGCTAATCCTGAAAATATGATCTTTCAAAGAGTCTCTTGTCTCTTGGGTGTCTTTTATAATATATCGTTTGGATTGCAAAAGTCTATTGCACTCTTTAAGAGGATTAGAAGCAGATCGCAAGGCCTGATAATCTCTTACTATTTAATTCAGATTACGTAAACGAGTAAATACTATTGTTTGTTTTTTTTTTAAATTGAGAGGGAATTTACTATAAATAACTTGTGGGTGCTCAACCTATTTTTTGATTCATGACAATCTATAAAACTATTGTGCTCGACCTAAATTTTATTCCTGACTCTGATCGTTCTATGTCCGAAGTTTTGGGTGTGTTAGACTTATCTATTAAAATGTAGGGAGTTCAATTTAAGCTTGAACTGTGGTAGACTTACTTTTTGACTGTGATCGAACTATGTTTCGACTGTTATCATTTTATATTTTTCGAATGTGTTCATTCAAGTTAGACTGGGCCCCTTCTATATTTAGACTGTATTCAGCATCTCTGTTGATTACCCTCAACATCGGATTCCAATTTGGTCGACTTAGATAATGAATGTCTGTAAATCAACTGTGCTAGATATTGTTTTGACCCTGTTTGACCTGTGTTACCAGTGTTTCCACCTTTGTTTTGAGCGTGTTGGACCTTATTTCAAATATGCTCGATCTATAAACTGCAACTCAGCTCGACCTGTGTTTCGCCCATGCGCGACCTTTCTTGGCCTTTGTTTTGACAATCCTCGACGTTTTCCTTCGATTTTCCCTCCTATTTTTCGATTCTGGTCGACACATGTTTCCAATCTGCCAAATCTCAATTTTGACAGTGATCTATATATGTGTCTTTTCTGCTCGATATTTGTTTTTGACTGTGATCGATCTTTGTTTTAACGAGCTCATTATAGGTACTTTGATTGTGTTCGATATAATTTTGAGTGTTTTCGACGTTGTCTGCATCGACTGATCTCAATTTACGTTCCGACTTCTGATTCGAATCGTCTCGACATTTGTTTCGACTCTGCTTGTTTTATGCTTCGATACTGCTCGACCCCAGTACTGCCAGAGGTCGAGAAGAGCCGAACTATAGAACGAGCATTGTCTGAACATGTCTGTGTTTGACCTATTTAAATAATTCGAGGGTGTTCAGTTTTTGTTTGAAATGTGGTAGACTTTTATTTTGACTAAGCTCGATCTATGTTTTGACTGTTGTCGCTTTATATATTTCGACTGTATTCATTCGATTTAAATTGTGCCCAGCCTATGTTCCAACTGTCCCGGCTTGACCAAATTTCTTAGCACACAATTTTCATATATGAGAAACTTCTTGTCATACAATTTCATCAAATTCCATACGTACAGAAAAATGTATGAAGTCTCTATGAACAGCGTTTTTTGATATATAAAAACTGTAAGATAGGTGTTTTTATATAAACTAAAAAATTGGTTTTTTTCTAATTTCAATTTCTGAAAACTTTTGGGTTGTGTTCGTAACCGAAAGTAAGTGACAAAGACCTTAGTTTATTCAAAGCACCCCAAGGTTGGACGGTCTTGCATTTACAATGCCTAGAAAATGACCTCAATTGCCTTGCAGCTATCTTTCACAAATGATGTAACAAAAGTAATAAACTTGTAAATTTTGGCAAAATTTTTCAACGCTGACTATTTTCAAAATTTGAATTTTCAAATTATGAGACATCGATCGAGGCATGAAAAAACACGCCATTCAAAAAAAAATTGGAGTTTTCAGCGTTTTTGAAAAAATTTATTATGCGAAAAGAAAAAATCCAACACAAGTGTATAACAGACTACATTATGCACACAATGACTTTTTTCCGGAATTGATTGTTTGCAAACAAAATTCAATTTGCGGTTGAAAAAAAAATTCATACAGTTTCCAAATGTGGGAATTGTGTTAAAAGCATTTTTTTCAAAAAACAAAATCCTCTTTTTTTATTCACCAGACTGTTTCATTAGAATTAAACAGTGCAGAACTTAATTTATATCTTTTTTCAACCATTTTTCGAAACTGTACAAAAATTGTATGACAAGCATTTTTCCATCCACTTGATGTATGGAATTTTATGATAAGCATTTTCGATGTATGGAGGTCAACCGCGGTGTTCAACTTCTATGCCGACAAGCTCAACAATCTTCGATAATGTTTCGAGTCTGCACGACCTATTATACCAATGATTCCATCTTTGTTTTGACTGTGTTGAACTTATAACTTTTATTTTTTTGAAAGCCATGTTCTTTCTTTAAAAAGGGCATAGACGGTTACGCCGCGAAGATACCTACTACCAGTTGTTTCATTTGAAACATTCCTTATAAATTTGGAGGGCACATTTAGAAATGTTTCAACTAAACGAACAAAATGTTACAAATTTGCCTTTTTAAAAACCAAGTCTTCAAAAAAATAGTGCGAAGTGGCTTATGTAGAATATCTTCCCACACCCAGTTCTATTATTTGGAACCAAAATCTCAAATTTGGCAGCGTAGCTTCGAGGAAAATTACCAAATAAAATAAAATCTGCGTGAAACATTCCCCTTCCATATTTGTCGAAGGATTTAGAAAGTGAGTAAAAAGAGACGAGTAAAAGAGCAAGGAGAAATCACAAGAAAATAAATATAAATCTGAAAAAAAAATTTTTGCGATACAACAAAATAATTATCACGACCTATATAGGAGTCTGAACTACGATCAATGAATTTTAAAAATTTAACAAGCCTGCAACCCCTTTGAGGTAGATTCGGTGGATGACCCTTACCAAGCGTAAGTGTAACAAGCAGTCTTATATCTATGCTCTGTAACAAACTGCTCGTCCTGTCGTTTGATCCCACCATTGGTCTTCAGTCGTCGTTATAAACACTTTTCAACGTTTATCTTGCAATTAATTCGATTTTTACTCGTGTTTTGAAACGTATAAACTATAAAATTTCGATAACAAGCATGGGGGATTTGCCTTTCCCTAAGGAATTCTAAACCCGTTACAAACTCCTCCCACTTTGCCATTATTTTATGACATCCAGTTTGGGCGACCAAAGTATACATTTTTCCGAAGGCACCTATAAATTGATATATTTTGGCGCCAGTATATACTAATTTAGCAGATGACGCGCCTATAATGCAATTTTTTTGTAAAACGTTTTCCAAAAAGCGCCCATAGACGTCATTTTGACCTGATGTTTTCATAAGTTAGTTTGCGTCGCAGAAAAATCAATCAAAAGTCAAAATAGTGTTTTTTTTACATGATCTGGGATCGCTCGGAAAATCATTTGTCATTTTTTTTTGAAAATCCGCTTCCTCACGAGAAAATCCTAGATCCTCCCCTGATAACAAAGTGTAATAATTCTTGCTCAAATGAATTTTTATTTTGTTGAATTCAATTTCGAAAAGGAGTGAAAAAAATTTGGAATTGGTATAGCACAAACAGAAAAGTAGCAAAATGATTTGCTTGCAGTTTAAAAAAAAAACAAATTCAACGTTGGTTTGTCGTAATGAGCAACTTAGCTTCTTCATGGCTGCTTTTTTACATCAACCAATGGACTCGATATCGATAATCTAAATTCCTCACGAAAAAAGCTGTTTCTACGGTTAATTCGATGAAGTTATTAAGCTGCTAATCTCAGCTTAGATTGCATTTAACAAGTCATAACCAAAACCATGTTAAACAGCACCTTTTTATATTGATAGGCATTCAAAATTATTTGGAAATACTTTCGCTATCAAGTTTGTTTTTCAATTAGTAATCCCATAATATGCGAATTAATAATCCCTTGTAGGGGGCGGGGGGTTCAAATTAGTTTTCAGGGTTTTGTGGGGGGGGGAGGGGTTCCAGGGTTTTGTAAGGGGGGGGTGTTTCTAAAACATTTTCAGGGTTTAGTGTTTTTTTTTCAAAACCATTTTCAGGGTTAAAACAAGCGCACTTACGGGGTGTGGGCGGACGCCCTCCTCGGGAGTTCTACACCCTGCCGACTACATGGTTCGCAAAAACGCCTTTTTGGGGTTTTTTTAACTTCTTGCGAGCTAAATAAGTCTTTGTACAGCTTTCGGATAGCTCGGAAAAATTCTAGACGAATTCTAGGCCACTTTTCAAGGCCGAAAGAAACCATTGTATGGTGGCTCACTTGTTTGACCTTTTTTTCTCCCAGATACAATTAAGAATACCCAGCAAAGCCCCTTTTTTTAAAACTTGCCAGCATATGATGAGATCAATCATTCAAATCCAACTTTTTCATAACGTTAAATCCAGAAAAAAACCAACCTTATCCCAAAATCATAGAGCATTTGAACGTACGTCTATCGCTTATAATTTACAAAAATAAAATAAATTCGAATATTAATATTCAATATACATTTATAATTTCATTTTTAAATTCACCAATTTAGCGTAAATATAGGTTAGTATATTTAATCTAATAGAAAAGAACGGAAGATAATCAGTTAAAATAAACAAAATAATTGTGCAGTAAAGTTACATTGCATTAATTTTCTATAGTGAAAATCAAGCATGAGAATCAATGACACACAATAATAATCTTATACAAGTAGTTGAGGATTCTGTGAACGTTATTCAAACCCCTTTATTGCAAAAATATATGGCGGAATCAATCCGTTATTCAAAGCTTTACCGTTGACATAGTTCGGCGTGGATGTGAGCTTATTTAATATATACCATAGGGGCGATTTGTTCCCAAGATCTTTTCTTATAATGTCGACTGAAATATTGCGCTTGAATTTCACCAGATTCACGAATTTTACTCAATTAACTAGATTATAAATCATTACTCATTGGTAATAGTATCTCTTAGACTGTTAGTCCTCGAGCTTTCAAGCTCATGTTCTTTTGAACTGCTTTTTCCCAAAGACGAGTTATAGGATTTCGATTTCTGTGAGTTTGAAGTTAAGAGTCTTTTTAGCAAACCTTTTTTATGCTTCTTTTTCGCGGTTTCATTTTCGCTTAAATTGCCGTCAAATGTATTGCTGTGTTTGAGCACTCGGTGGCTCTTTTTGCCATCATCATTTTTGCTCTTTTTGGTCCTGCTGTCTTTTTGGTTGCCTGGTGACGTCATGATTGGCAGTTGCGGGGAAGACTTGTGAGTTGAACTGCTCATTTGGTCGTCAGTCGAAATAGCCGACAATATTGAGACTGAACCGAGCGAAGTAGTTTCGTCAGTTTCCTGTCCTATAAAAACTGAAAAAATGATTAAAAATTTTCACGGATGCCTAACAGATCTATTTTTTTTAAATTATAGCGTTTTAAATAACCTAGGCGCCAAGAAAGTACAGATAAAATCCAAAAAAAATAGTCATTTTTAATTTCAAGTAAAAATCACGTTCGAAAAAACTTATCTATACAAAGAAAAAACTCTGAATCACTTGAAGGCAGCCCATACCCCAGATTTTCCGAACACTCTCACCCAGGGGCGGATTTTGGGGGGGGGGTGGCGTACGCGTCCGCGTCCTCCGCTCAGGGATTCGACCCCCTGCCGACCCAAAGGGTCCCCCCTTTGCACTATTTTGAGATATCCATATTTGGTGACGGACGGACCCTGAAATTTTTCTAAAGGCCCCTCCGGCGCCAATATATGATAATTTTGAGGGATAAAAGTGCCCAAAAATGACTTTCTCCGAAATTTTGCCTGCCCCCCCACTACTTCGAGAAAATCCTAGATCCACCCCTTCTCTTACCGTCAACTTGTCCATATTTAGTAAACATACCATTATACAATGACTAACTCTAAAATCGCATCAAACCGAGACATATCAATTTGGTCGGGATATCTTTAACACGGTCAAAATTTTCCTGGATATTTCAAAAATTTCGCCGAATCATTCATATTATAGGCCTTAGGACAAAATATCTCGATTTTAGTTATCCATATTGGACAAATTAGTGATTTTGAAACAAATAAAAAACAGCGATTGCACCTAAAATAACTTTTTCATCTTCAGCTCAAGAACTTATATCTTTCAGTTTGAATTAAGAACTCCATCAAAAAACGCTGGCAAAAAGGTCGAGCTTAGTCTGAAAAAAAAATCAACCCGACAACAACTATTTCATCACTTTCTGTGATAGTCGAAACGGAATAATCGCAATGGACTGTATCAACACTTAAACTCGATTGTACTGGATTTATATGCATATACAGCAGCAAAACTGATCTGAAAATGTGTGACTTCAGTTGAAAAAAGAACTCGTATATTGACACAAGCATAAATCAAAAGTTTCAACGATAAAAATTTGACTCCAAAACAAAAAAGAGATTAGATAAGGAAACAGTTTTAATCAACTCGAAGAAACAAGGATAGGCGGCTGCTGTTCAAGTGGCACATATTGTTCTTTTTTTTCATCTTTTTGAGCACGATTTCATGTTACTATTTGGGAAGGCGTTGAGGTAGACGCAGGAGAAAAATTAGTCTCGACCGTCAAAGCTGATATCCTCCCGTATACGTGATGAATAAGTAACTAATTTAATTGAAAACTCAAAAACGGAAAAAAAATTTCAATTCTCAAACCCCCTCCTCCAGAGTAAAATTTAGCTCCAGCTCTTACTCGAGCCCCTGCTCACCCCCCCCCCCTTTCCCCGGGCTGTTTTTATCTCCGCACATCTACAATTTTTAAGGTAGTCGTGAAACGGATCAGTATTTTGAAACACTTTGCGTGTGTATTTTGACTAACCCGTTGAAAAGCGCTTCTCTTTCGAAATATTGAACAATCGGCTACTAGTTTCACTTCCTGCACTCCCAGCACCCGTAATTGTAGACTCATTGTCTTCTGCAAATGAGACAGTCGATTTCGAATTGGGTAGTTTGTTCATGCCACTTGCAACCCCAGCCACACTTGAAGGCGTTGTTACACTTGAGATAGTCCCCGTGTTCACGCCGCTACCATTAAGAAGCTCTCCTAAATGTTTTTTAAAAACTTGAGGGGAAGCTTTTGTTACATGTCCTAAGACCAGGATAACAAACTGGTCGACGAAGAAGTAGTAAATTAGTCAAAACTTACTTGAAATAACTCAAAATGGGCAGAAAACAAAGGACAAATAACAAGCGACCAGAAAAATTGACACTAATTTGACAAAAATTTCTGTGCCGCAAATAACTTTTTGTAAAAAAAGCAAAAAAGTTTTTAAACAAAAAATGCGTTTTTTGGCACACGCTACCTTTCAAAAGAAGTACATATTGGCTATCAGTCGGTCGAGAATGGAAAAGGCTACAGAGGGAAAAACCTAATTTTTTTTTTTGAGGAACATAAAACTGGCGAAATACAAAATACTAATTGAAGAAAATAATACTCTCAGCAATAAGGTTATCGTTTTCTTGGAATTCAAATAACAAAACTTAACCTCTATGGTCAATTTTTTACAAAAAAGATAAAACAGCCACCCTCTTCAAAAATTAACTAAAAAAACATTCTCGAACATTTTTCAACTCGGATAACAAAATTCATTTAAGCTATTTGAATTTCAAGAAACTTTTATGATTGGCCCTTTTAACACAAAGGCAACGAGGCAACTGGCAAATACAAGCGATAAAACGCCAAAAAAGTAGCTTTAAGAGGTTGAAAAAGGAAAACACGGATAGCCGGTTTTTTTTGCAAGCAGCGCAGAACTTTTTTTTCAAATTAGTGTCGTTTTTTTTTCTGCGTGGTGTGATTAAAAAAATTAAGCATATTCGACAGTCATAAAAACAGACCAAAAGAAAATCAATTTTTACCAGAGAAATTACCAGAAAAACAAAAAATTATATTTGTCAAACTTTTTTTGCAGTTTTTGATTACTAAAATGGAGCTGACAAACTCCAAAAACTAACTTTACGCGAGTAAGCCTTAATTTCAACGGTTTAAATTAGGCATAAACAAGCTATTGTAAGCCTGCACAACCACCTTAAGCTCAAAATTAGGGGAAAAACATTCAAACTAGACCCATTCCAATGATTAATCTTGGTACCTGATTGGAAAGCAAAAAAAAATTGAACCACACTCGAATTCAAAGTTCTTCCCCATTTTTCATACGGTGGGAACAATGGGGGAAAACGTAAACATAGGCGTTGAACAGAAAACTTTTGCTATCTGTTTGACATTTTTTACATTTAAGCTTTGATAATATGTCATCATACGGGCATATTACAGAAAGAACTCAAAATATTGTTTGTAAAGTTGTCGACACATTCAGTGCATTAAAGCTAAAAATCAACCCTGACAAGACGAAAATTCTCATGTCCAAATCTCAAAGATATCACTTTGATCTTAGAGCTTTGTCGCTAAATGGAACGGAAGTGAAGATAGTAGACGAAATCATCTCACTAGGCGTGAAAATTATTTACGGCTCACTAGTTCCGGGCTATTTGAAAAGTCTTATAGTCTTAAACAATCAGGAGACAGTACCAGATATCAACAACTGCAAAACACCTGTCAGGAAAAACATTTTCAGTTAGCTGGCCGCGTCCTTGGAATAACCTACCAGTTCAACAACGTGAGACTCGAGATATAACATTATTTAGACGGAAGCTAAAAGTAAACTTTTCCGAGCCGCTCATCGCCTAGACTAGTTTATCAGATCTGAGTGCAAACTAGACAATCTGGGAGAATTAAACCGATGAATTGTTACGTAAACGAAATTTTATCGTTTCAAAAGACCATACCGCAAAATTATCGGGCTCTCAGGATCCAAGAGATGGCCTAACTGCGTTCTTGGTGCGTCTCGTGTTTATGGTGTTTATTTTCAAATTAATAACACTATCTGGTTATTAATAAGCTGGGAATTCAGGAAAAAAAAACATATCATTAAGACTGATATAAGTCAGAATAACTTTGTTCTTTTACACTAAAGCAAAGAAAATTAAGTAAACTTAAAAATAAATCAAAGTCAAGCCGCGAAAACATCATCGGGACCTGTAAAGCCGCGAAAAAATCATCGCGACCTGTATAAGTGACAATCACTTAGCTTATATTTCACACTTGATAATATATATATGATAACCAATTTTAGATCACTTCAAAATGACCTGAAAAGCAGATCGAGAACAGGAATATTCGATTAAGCATTCAAATTGCAAAAAATGATCCTTTCACACATTAAGACACAGATGCGAAGCTGCAAGAAGTCAAACAAGTGAAAAAACTATGAAAGGTAGCTATAAAAAAGTGGAGATTAAAAAAGGAAAGGCTAAAACTAACAAAATCATCTCTTATGTGTCGGAACCGAACCCCCGACCTGATAAATAAGAGTCACTCGTCCTAGCATCTGCGCTCTGGCCGCTTGGCAATTTTCAAACATAACCGCTAATAAACCAGATATACAGCTGTAGCCGTTTTTATCTAAAAACTATTTGTAACTTTTGATTGTATTTTATGTATTTTTCGAAATTAAAACCTTCTTAAACTTCGTTGGGCTACATAAGAGGCTACCTTTGATGCAATTGGTTCAACAACTAACCGATATTTTTAGCACAAAAATTATGCTTAAATTCTTTCATTCTCGTCGCTTTTTGTCTCATGTTAACCCAGTTCGTAAAACCGCCTTTAAAGTTTCCCATTTTTCTGGATTATTTCCGGATAATTTAATAAGCACTGTAGCTTTTTAATTCAGTGTTTTAAATTTCACATCAATTAGAAAAAGTAAAACAAAAAACTGCTAGTAAGATACAGCAGGGGGAGGAAAGGGAAAGTATAAGCAATTTAGTTGCAACTTCGAAGACAAAAATGGACAAACAAAAGGGATTATAATCAATTATAATCGATTATAATGGATTTTTGTGCAAAACTAACGAAGTAGAATTTTGAATAAAAATAATGGATTATAATCAATTCTAAACGATTATAATTGTATCGAAAAATAGACGAAAAAATAATCGATTATAATGGATTAAAATTAATTATATTTTGATTTGAAAAAAAAAAGATATTATAATCGATTATTAATTGATTAAAATCGATTGTTTCTCAATTTTAGTGAGACTGGTACTAAAATCGTAATATAATCGATTATTAACGCTTGAAACTGGATGCGGGCGAGAGTAACGCAAAAGTTTTGTAAATGAATTTGCAAAAAATATATAAAAATAATAATCCGTTAAAATCAATTATAATGAATTTGAAATGGATTACAACCCATTAGAATGGATTTTACTGGATTGCATTTTTACGAAAAAAATCGCTTTTAATGACAATGTATTCAATTTTGTGGTCTAAATTTGCCAAAAAATTGGAGTAAAACGACAAAATTTTAGAAAACAATTTTCCATTTTAATCGATTATTATCCAAGGAACTCCGGTGCTGGGTGCTCGACGCCACCTAAGATCCGACTATGATCGTCGTTTATCATGAATGTGCTCAAGCTTTTTAGATTGTGTTGAATATTTATTTATTGTGTTTACTATCTTTCGAATCTGCTCGAATTATATTTCGACTCTTTAATTTGTCGGTGCTCAACCTATTTTTTGACTGATGTCAACCTATAGAACTATTGTGCTCGACCTAAACTTTGAATGCGCTTGACCTAAAAATTTACCTCGACCTAAATCTTTTGCTCGACCTAAAACTATTGTGCTCGACCTAAACTTTATTCCTGACTCTGATCGTTCTATGTCCCAAGTTTTGGGTGTGCTAGACCTATCTATAAAAGTCTAGGGTGTTGAATTTAGGCTTGATTTGTGGTAGATTTACTTTTTGACTGCGGTCCAACTATGTTTCGACTGTTATCATTTTATATTTTTCGACTGTGTTCATTCAAGTTAGACTGGGTCCATTCTGTATTCAGACTGTATTCAACCTCTCTGTTGACTACCCTCAACATCGGATTCGAATTGGGTCGACTTAGATATTGACTGTCTGTAAATCAACTGTGCTCGATATTGTTTTGACCCTGTTTGACCTGTTTTACCAGTGTTTCCACCTTTGTTTTGACCGTGTTGGACCTTATTTCAAATATGCTCGATCTATAAACTTTAACTCAGCTCAACCTGTGTTTCGCCTATGCGCGACCTATGTTTCAAATGTTCTTGGCCTTTGTTTTGACAATCCATAACGTTTTGCTTCAATTTTCCCTCCTATTTTTTGATTCTGGTCGACATATATTTCCAATCTGCCAAATCTCAATTTTGACAGTGGTCTATATATGTGCCCTTTCTGCTCGATATATGTTTTGACTGAGATCGACCTTTGTTTTAACGAGCTCATAATACGTACTTTGATTGTGTTCGATATATTCTTCGAGTGTTTTTGACGTTGTTTGAATCGACTGATCTCGATTTACGTTCCGACTTCTGATTCGAATCGTCTCGACATTAGTTTCGACTCTGCTTGTCTTATGCTTCGATACTGCTCGACCCCAGGTCGCGCAGTGTTAAAACACAAGACAAGCATAGTCAAAACTCTTGTGGAGACGAGTCGAGCCAGAGATCGAGAAGAGCCGAACTATAGAACGATCATTGTCTGAACATGTCTGTGTTTGACCTATCTAAATAATTCGAGGGTGTTCAGTTTTTGTTTGAAATGTGGTAGACTTTTATTTTGACTGTGCTCGATCTATGTTTTGACTGTTGTCGCTTTATATATTTCGACTGTATTCATTCGATTTATTTTGTGCTCGACCTATAGTCCAACTGTCCCAGGTTGACCGAAACTTTTTATCACACGATTTCCATGTACGGAAAACTTCTTGTCATACAATTTCATACAATTCCATACGTACAGAAAATTGAAGTCTCTATGAAAATCATTTTCATTTTTTCATATATGAAAACTGCAAGATAGATGTTTTTACATAAACCAAAAAATTGTTTTTTCTTCTTATTTCAATTTCTGAAAAACTTTGGGTTGTGTTCGTAACCGAACGTTAGTGACAAAGATCTTAGTTTATTCAAAGCACCCAAGGTTGGACGGTCTTGCATTTACAATGCCTAGAAA